ACACACACACACACACACACACACACACACACACACACACACACACACACACACACACTAGATAGGGGGTGAATGGGGCTGAGAAGAAGTAGTAACAAACAAGCTTGGGCTGAGCTGAACGGTTCTGTGCCTAACCTTCCTCCCAGAAGGAGTCCTGGTCTGGAAATGGGCCACAAAATCCTGGAATGGAAAGGCATCTACTCCAAATTCCCAACCAATGCAGAAATATCCCCCTGCAGATCCCCAACAAGGAGTCATCCAGATTCTGACTGAGGTCCTTCAAAAGTAGAACCCACTGCCTCCCGAGGCCACTCATTTCCCTTTAGACAACCTCTAATTGTTACAAAGCTTGCCCCCATTACTCTGCCCATCCTCCACCCATCTGTGCTCCTCAAAGAACAAGACTAACTCCTTCCCCACATGATGGTCTCTCAGACTGGAAAGAGCTCCCATGTCTTCCTCAAGTATCATCCAGCTCACACACCTCCATTTCATTGATCTGGAAGAAGCCTGAGAGGTCGTGCAATCTTTCCTCATTTGGGTTATTTCTAGCGTCCATTCCCCCTCCTGGTTAGCCTGCTCTGGACGTGTGCCAGTCTTGCCAATTAGATTTCAGGGGCCAAAGGAAAAGTCAGGAAATGATGCTTTCCAGTGCCAACCATAACTACATGGTACCTTGGGAAGAGGAGAGCCTCCCAGAGTCTGAAGACCGATATTCACCACCCCGCACTGATGTTGCCTTCCTACCTGAGCTTGGACAAGTCACAATCCTGCTGGGCCTCAGTTTCCTCATCTGTAAAATGGGAGGCTAGACTAGGTAACTACCAAAATCCTCATCTCGAGGCCTGTGAGCTGTGTGGCCTCTTCCAGGGGCCACCCTCTGGGGAGCCCAAAGCACCAGACACATCCTCTCTTCTCATCTTCTCTCTTTCACACTGCAATCTTTTCTTTTTCTTTTTTTCACATTTCAATCTTTAACTTATTGGGGGGACCTTGGGCATGTCCCCATTAACTCCCATGTCTGGAGTTAATTTTCTTATCTGAAGAGTAGAGGCTTGAACCCAGTGGTTTCTGAGGTCTCTCCTAGCATTGAGAAATTCCAGGAACACTCCTTAGTCTTCTAATTTGTCTCCTCTCAGGCCCAAGAGAGCTGGCAAAGTCCCATGGCAAAGGGCTGGCTGCCTTTGTTAGCTAACGGGATGGAGCTGTTGTCTGAGGAAAGCTTGCTTTCCTTTTTTGGGTGGTAGGGGATAGCACTCTTGGCCTGGGGACTCAGGAGACCTGAATTCTAAGGATTGGCAGGGTGACAACCAAAAGCTATACCTAGCTAAGCCTAAGGTTTTCTCACCTTTGTTCACTGGGGACAGTAACTCCTGCCCCCTGCCGGATAAGGAAATAAACAGGAAGAAATCTGCTGTCAAGAATGAGGGGTGCCCACAGCTGGCCAGCCTGGGGTCACACACCTGGGCAGCTCCTGGAGAGAAGCCAAGGGGTCCTGACTCCCAGCCCCGGCACTGGGGTAGGCATGGGAGTACAGGGAGGGGCAGGAGAATCCTTACCAATTGATGACTCCTCTTTCCCCACCAGGGCCTCAGTTCCAGCAGCTGGTGAGTGAGCTGGGCTGAGCGGACAGCAAAAGTACTCTCAGCCACACAAAGGGCCAAGGAGATGGCCCAGAGACACAGGGTGGAGCTCTGTGGGAGGAGAGGAGGAAGTTGGTGAGACAGTGACCCTGAGTGACCCAGGCCCAGAGCCTAAGCGATCACAGGATCATAGGTGGAGAGCTCGAACAGACCTCAGAGGTCATCTGGTTCAACTCCTTCATTTTACAGATGAGGAAGCTAAGGGCCAAAGACTTCCTCAAGGTCACATCGAGTGAGCTCAGAGCCAGAGAGAATTGAGTCTGAACCAGCTGGGAGGCTGCCCCACCACAGTCACCTCCTAAGTGCACGTGGGGTTTAAAGACCAGTCCAGGGAGCCAAGACTCAAGGGGTCACTTACATACAAGCCTAAGAAGGAAGTTAGGAGCTCCAGGGAGACCTGCCCTCAGAGAACATTCACATAGGGAGGACCCTGAGGTGGGGGGGGTCACATAAGGTGGACGTAGGACCTAAGAGAAAATCAGGGGGGTTCTAAACTTAACAGTCATTTACACAGATAGGCAGAGTGTACCCAGGGGAGTCACGTGTCCTAGGGAGGCCCATTGTCAGTTGCAGTCACTTACATAGATTCGGGTGGGGTCAAAGGGGCAGTCCGGCGTCAGGTAGAGGAGCTCTGAGTTACCGAAGGAACAGGTGGCAAGCAGTGACCGGCCCTGGTTGGCAAAGGTGATGGCAATTGATGCCAGGAGGCCAAGGGAGCAGACCAGGGAGAAGAGAGCGCTGGCTATGCTGGCAGCAAACACTGTCCATCGCTGGAGGGAAAAGGTCCATTTGTGGGGAGAGGGCACTGGCCACAGGCTGACGTCTTTCCTCCCACCGGCTATGACCAGTACTCAGGGGCTCAGAACACAAGAGATGATCAGGGCAGGGCAATGCGTGGGTGCACTTGCATGCACGTGTGTAACATACTAGAACTGTCAGCTAAGGGGAGTGGGATAGAAATCATCAAATCCAACCTCCTCATTTTATGTGGAAGAAAACAGGTACCCATTGGAAAGAGGATCACTCAAAGTCACACAGTGAATCAGTAGCGGAAGGCTGTTTTGATCCTCCAGACAATGCTCTTTTCTTTGCACCCAAACACCCGGATATTCTCTGGGGGAGCCCAACTCTTCTCAGTGACATGGTCTCCAAACCTCCTACCCTACCCCACAGGGGCAGCTCAACCCCACCCCTTGCCCGTCCTGTCCTAGCCTGGTCCCACCTTTCCCTCTTGCCCCCCCCATCCCCATCCCAGCCTGGGTTTCCAGGGGCCACTATACCAGGGAGGTGAGGGAGAGGTATCTGGACAGCACAATGACTGAGATCCCACAGGCAATGATCTATGTACAGAAAAGACATGAAGTGAAGGGAGGGCCTCTGTCTGTCTCCGTCTCCCCACAGCCACTGATGGAGGGAGAAGCATCAGGAGGCCTTAGGCCACTCTTTCTGCACCCGTCACTTTTCCAGGACCACCCTTGAGGTGCCCCCTCAAGGAACCTCCTCTCTTGCCCACTGGGGTCCAAGGCAATGTAAGCCCTTAAAAAAAACAATAATTAATAATAAGAACAACTAGCATTTATATAATGCTTTAAGGTTTGCAAAGTACTTTGTATATGTTAACTCAATGACCTTCATAACAACCTTGTGATGTAGATGTTATCATATCCCCATTTTATAGATGAGGAAACTGAAGCTGAGAAAGGATAAGTGATTTGCCCAGGGTCACACAGCTAAGTAAGTAAGTGTCTGAGGCCAGATTTGAACTCAGGTGTTCCTAACTCCAAGTGTAGCACCATGCCATCGTGATGCTGTCTTTTGCCCATGAGAAGACAATTTCAAGCTAGACCAAGGGTACAGTCTGTGAAGAACCTTAGCCTCGAGGCGGCCCTTCTATGTGGATACATGCATTACTGCCAGTTTAAGGGGGCTGGGAGAAGGGAGTAGGGCCTGGAATTTGGGACTGGCTATAAAGACAAAATTCTTTCCCCAAATCCCACACCCCATCTACTCTTCCAGGAGCAATGGATTCTATTGTAAGACTGTTCCCAGTTCTGTGGATCCTACTTATAATAACTTACACAATAATTCCTATTTATATAGCTTTTCAAGATTTACAAAATTTTTTTTAAAGATGAAGAAATGGAGGCCCAGGGAGGCTGAGTTATGTGATTGAGGTCACATAGCTAGTGAACAGCAGAGCCTAGATTTGAACCCAGGACTTCTGACTCCACATCTAGGGCTCTATGTGGCGCAGCGACTTCCTTTATTTCTTAATGTCTTTATATCTGCCCCTTTCTCTCCACTCCCACTGCTACCACTCTCGTCCAGACCCTCCTTGTATCTTACCTCGACTATCTGTAACAGCCCTGGATTGGTCTCCTGGCCTTGGGGCTCTTCCCTTCCAATCCAAATGCCCCTACTCGACCTGGCTTTATCTACCTTTACATCCTCCATATGCAGAGACCATCCAGCTCCAGATAGGCCTTCTTCCTCAATCAATCAACATTTATTAAGTGCCTACCATGTGTTAGGCTAGCTCTATGTGCTAAGGGCTGAGGAGAGGCAAAAGACAGTCCCTGTCCTCAAGGATGAGGGAGCCCCTTTCCTCCAAAGCCCATTGCAGCCTATAATGCCACCCTACCCTTCTGCCCACGCCAATTTTACCCATCCCGCAAGGCCCAACTCAAAAGCTATCTTCTCAAGGAAGCCTTCTGCCCGCAGCCTCAGCCCCCACTGAATCCTCCGTTCCCAGAACCTAAGTCACACAATTTATTGTCTGGATTCATAAGATCTTAGAATCTAGAGCTGGGGGGGTGCTTAGAGCTTCTCCAATCCCCCTCGTTTTATAGTGGAGGAAATTGACTTGTCCAAAGCCACACAGACGGTGTTGAGTGGCAGAGCTTCTGTGAGTGACTGAGTCTCCTCCTCCCGCCTCCAGCCTCCAGCCTCCAGCCTCTACCATGTTTACTTGCCTTCCCTCCAACCTCCATTTATAGAAGCTACTTGTCTGTAGCCTGCCGGAGGCATGTTTGATTTTGATTTTTTTTTCTTTCATGAGCACAAAGATTAGTTGCTGCTTAACCATTTAAGAGCAGCCTCATTTGTAAATCAAGGAATCAGAGTATCATAGATTGAGAGATGGAGGGGACCTTGGAGATCATTGAGTCTTACCCACTCTTTTACAGAAAAGGAAACTGAGGCAGAGAGGTTAAATGACTTGTCCAGCGTCACACAGCTAGTTAAAGGTCTGAGCTGGGATTCAAAGGCAGGTCTTTCTGGTCCTATCTGCAGGTGTGACCACGAAGGGATGGAGGGGAGGAGTGGGCTGGATGTTTTGGGTTTTTTTTTTTTTCTATCTAAAAATGTTTTAATGATCCATTAAAAAAAAAAATCAGTCATTCCTGGACATAGGTTCCCAGAAGTGAACCCTTTCTTGTAACAAAGAAAAACACTTAAGCACAAACCATGCGCAGAGTAAGTCTATCTGACAGTGTATGTGACATTCTGTCCCCAGAATCCCCCCCATCTGCTGGGCAGAGGTAAGTAGGGTTCGTCTGGTAGTCTGGCTCAGCCCCTTTAAACAGGCAGTAACGCATTGCCCACATGGAAGGGCAGCCTCAAGGCTAAGGCTCTTCACAGACTGTGCCCCTGGCCTGGCTTGAGGTTTCAAAGAGATTGTCTTCTCATGGACAAGAGATTAAAATGAATCTGTTTAAGACAAGGGTTTTTTAGCTTTTTTTTTTTTGGCTAGGCAGTGGGGTTAAGTGACTTGCCCAGGGTCACACAGCTAGTAAGGGTTTTTAGCTTTGTGTATGTGTGTCCTAGACTCTTTTGGCAGTCTGGGGAAGCCTATGGCCTCTTCTCCGAATAATGTTTTAAAATACATAGGATTACAAAGGAAGACAATTATACTAGAATACAGCTATCAAAAATATTTTTAAAAAACAAGTTCTCAGAGTCTAGGTTAAGAACCTGTGGATTAAGATATCTTCTATCCTAGTGTTTTCTAAGATAACTTCTAACACTAACAGAGTGATTTGTATCATCACCTAACCTTCCTAGGACTCAGTTTCCTTTTCTGTAAAATGAGGGAGTTAGACTAGTTGCCCACCAGATTTCAATCTAAGCTTCCCAGCTAGTTGCAGCTTGTCTTTAGCCCCATTCCAACCTTTAACCTTTGCTCTCTGAGCCAATAGACGATGACCACCTCCCATCAAGCAGAGGTCTCTCCCCCGACATTCCCCTCTCCCTAGGAATGTGAGCTGATTAGCAGGTACCAAGATGGCTGAGGTGACGGCGAGGATGTTGGAGACTGCATATTGCAGTGAGACGGCATCGTGGGTGTCTGTGACAAAGCGAAGGGCTGTGCCGTGCAGCAAGGCGGCGGTGATAAAACTGATGTGCCCCAGGACCAGAAGCACCAGGCCCGTCTTCATCAAAATCTTTTTGTAATCGCCGCAGCTCAGGCCTCCTGGAGGGGGGAAGGGCGATGGAGTCAGCGTCTTGAGCCCAGCCTCTCGCTGCACTCACCCTCTTTGCTGACCATGGGGACTAGTGTCCATCTTCCCCTCCACCTGCTTCTCTATTCACAACTGCTAGGAAGAGTCTGGTTGGTTGATTAATATGTTGTTCATTCACTGAGCCCTGGAGATGGGGGTCTAGGGAGCATCCTCTTGTAGTTGTGGGTAGTCTGGCCTTGCCCTCATATCCATGGCACCTCCCTCCAGTCCCACCTGAGGCCAGATACCAGTAGCTGGCAAGGATATGCCCCTTACAATGGCTCAGGCCCTTTCCAAGCTGGTGACCACACATACAGTCTCATGACAACCTTTCCTGCCTAATGGGACATCTCTGAGTCCCATTGTACAGATGAGGAAGCTGAGGACTGGACGAGAGGTGAATATATTGACTGTCCCTCTACCCCTGACAGCACTGGTCTCTCTCTGAAGGACTGTGATTCTTCACCTGCTGGATTGCCCCACTTCCCTAAGGGCATCACCAATATTCTTCCTTTCCTTTCCCAGCCCTCCAGGGGAGCCCTGCTCCTTATCTGAGCAGAAAAAGCCAGAATCCAGGCAGTTCCTTTACGGGGCTTTATGTACTGGGACTGGACGAGGAGGGAGAGGCTGGCCCTTGAAAAGCTTTCTGGAAGGGAGCAGGTGGTGGTAGTAGGGGCTGGCTGGGGAAAAGAGTTAGTGCTGATCAGAAGCTTGGAGATGACTTAGTTTAGCTGAGACCCGGAGGAAAGAGGGGGCTTTCCCGAGGCGCACAGCCAGCTGATTGCAGAGCAGGGAGGGAGTGGCAGTCACTTCTCCTGGTTCCCAAGTCCAGAGATCTTTCCACTACATTGGGGTATTGGGACCAGGGATGAGGAGAGGGAATCTGGGACTCCTGCTTTAAAGGGTGCCCTTGTGGGTGTTGTTGGGGAAAGAAAAACAAACAGCCCTGGCCAGGGAGGTCTGGGTTCTAATTCTTGGGCAAGTCTTTTAGTCTTTCTAAGCCTCAGTTTCCCCATCTGTAAAATGGAGGGCTCAGACTGGATCGCATCAGGGCTACAAGGAGATTCAGAGACCATCCAGTGGTCCCCTTGCCTTTTAGGGAGGACAACTTATCCTGGCTCTCTGAGGAACTCTCCAGCTCTGTAGCTGTATATGGGACAGGATGACAATCTCTCCCTCCCTCCCTCGCTTCCTCCCTCCCTCCTCCCTCGGGGCTGGTGGGCAAGAAGAGTTAGCTCACCCAGTTGCAGGCACATCGTGGTTCGTAAGGGTGTGGGTCCCCGGCTCCTTGCTGGGGTCTGGCTTACTGAGGTTCCTCTTCCCAGGGACCTCCCAGAGGCCCCATGTCCATCCTCCTACCCCTGCCCCCAAGCCCCAGCCTAGTCCTGGCGGTCCAAACGGGTGGCTTGACTGGACGTCACCAGTGCCTGCACCCTCTTCCCGCCTCTGCAGGCTGAGGCTCTGGCCCGGCCTCCCTTGCTTTGCTTCCCTTCCCATTAGCCCAGCCCAGCCCAGCCCAGCAGCTCGTCTGCATCTCCAGTTCCTGTTTGACCAGCTCAGCTGGCACAAAGGGCAGGGCCCCACCTCCCCCTGCCCCCGGGAAGGGATGATTCACGGCTCTGACCCCTCCCACCCACCCTTTCCTAGGCAGCTGGGCTGGAGCAGCTTAGCCAGCCAGCCATGCCTGAGTCCCTCCACAAGTCAGAAGGCCACCTAACCCCTTGGCTTCGTGAGGGGCTCCAGTCCAGAGGGCAGAGAGGACAATAATATTCGGTCGGTGGCCAGTAGGGTCTAGACTGCCCCTTTTTAGGGAGTGGCCAAAATGAATCAGTCACCCTACTACTTATGGCTAAGGACCTAGGCTTGCATTCCGGTCTGGTTCAATAGAATGAGAAGAGAATTGGATTTGGAATCCAAAGATTCTGGGTTCAAATCCTGGCTCTGTTTGATATTGGGTAATGTTGGGCAAGTCACTAAATGTCTCTGGGACTCAGTTTCCTCCTTTGTAAAATGAGGGGGCTTGGTCTAGGTAACCTCTAAGATCCCTTCTTGACTCTAATATTCTAAGACAACTGCGGCTTGAATTTTAAGTCCTGGCTTCCCTGCAAATTTGCTGTGTGATTTAATCTTTCTGCCCTAGTTTCCTCATTTGGAAAATGGGGATAATAAATCCTGCCCTAAAAGAATAACAGCATTTATCATTGCAAAGCACATATACACTGGGTCATATCATCTTAACTGTAGGAGGTAGGCAGGGCAGAGATTATTATCCCCATTTTATAGATGAAGAAACTGAGACTCAGATATGTTCAATGGTTTGCTTGGGGGTCATAGAACTAGTAAGTGTCACTGCAGGGATTTTAACCCAGATCTCCCATCTACAAGTCCAGCATTCTCTGCATTACAAGATAGCACCTTCTTTGATGGATGGAACACACACTCAATGCTCGTAAAGCCCTTTCCACATGTGACTAGTCAACATCCATCCATTCATTCACTCAGTATTGGTTAAACTGGAGTGGAAGGGAAGGGGAGGAAGAAACGGCAGACTATTAGGGGAGCTCACAGCTCTAAGCCCTGCTCTCAGGGAGCTTCTAGTCAAGTTTCAGAAACAAGATTTGTAGACGAAAGGATGAGAGTACATTACAAAACGCTATAGAATCAAGCACTATAGTGTGCGGCCTAAACTGTAATTTGGGCAGGTAGGTGGTACAGTGGGTAGAATGCTGGACCTGGAGTCAGCAAGACTCATCTTCCTGAGTTCAAATCTGTCCTCAGACACTTCCTAGCTGTGTGACCTTGAGCCAGTCACTCAACCCTGTTTGCCTCAGTTCCTCATCTCTAAAATGAGCTGGAGAAGGAAATGGCAAACCATTCCTGTGTATCTGCCAAGAAAACCCCAAATGGGGTCAACAAAGAGTTGAAAATGACTGAAAAAAATGACTGAACACCAGACTGTAATTGCTGTAGGATTCCAGAGAAAGGGAGTGTTTGGCAGGAATCTCTGGGGACAGGAACAATCAGGGAAGGCTTCCTGGAGGAGGCAGAACCAGAAGTAGACCTTGAAGGTGGAGGAAGACAATATGGGTTAAGGCACCAGATGAGCTCCAGGGTCACCTCTTTCAAGTGTTTTTATTTCCCTAGATACCTCCCTCCTCCACCCCCCCCAATCACTGTGTGTGTGTATATACGTGTGTGTATGTATGTACGTATATATGTATGTATGTCCTGTATTTATCTGTGAACATGGTCTATCCCCTTATTTGAATGTAATCTCCCTGAGAGCAGTAATTACTTTTCTCTTTTGTACCTGACACACAGTAGGCACTTAAAAAACACTTTTCAATTGAAAAGGGCCTTGCAAAAGGCAGAATGATGAGGAAGGAGGCCAGCTTGGGACAGTGGGGGAGGGGGGACTGGTGGAGATGGGGTGGGGCCTTTAAGGAAGGGATTAGGAGGGAGTGTCAGTGACCCAGGCTGTGCTCAGGCAGGTTTGGGGGAGCTCTTGAAACATGTCGAGGCTGTGGGGACCTTTCAGGCCTCCCCTTGTGGCTCAACCTGGCCGGGCTCAGCACCCAGGTTCAGAAATTACATCAGATCTCAGCTCCCTTCTCTCTTCCCTCCGAAGGGCCTTAGGAGGAGATTTGATGGGGTGGGGGTGGGAGGGCTGGGAGATGTGGCAAGGACTCCTCCATGTAATAAATCACTTTGATCACAACAACTCTATGAAAGATGTGAAGCAAATATCATCCCCATTTTATAGATGAGGAAATTATTTACCAAACATCCCACGGATTCAGTATCAGAGCCAAAACTCATAGGGACACATGACTTAAGAACACAGAAGGGACCCTTAGAGATCATTTAATTCAATATCCTTTATAAGGAAAATTTTATGAGGAAACTGAGATCCTACTACTACCCCCACACTGCATGAACCCAGGACCTCAGACTCTTCAGTCTGAAGCTCTTTCCCATGCCTCCCAGCCCACCCCAGGATGCCTCAGAGGCTCAGGACACTGCACCAGGATAAAGCCCCTTCCTCAGAAGCCCACAAGAACAATGATAATAACAGTTGTTTCTATGGCACTTCAAGGTTTGGAAAGCCCTTTATATGAATTATCTCATTTTAGTTGGCTCCTGCTTCTACTGGGCTGGCCTCAGGGACCTTATCAGCAGCACTATCCGGTTTAGAATTGAATTTGGGGTCCTAGACACCAATTCCCCCATATAAATCCCCACTCTCCTCACATCAATCAGCTGATGACCCAGGGACCTACTCAGCTGCTTAAAGAACATTGGTCTGGGAGGGCTTCTTATTCCCCACCCCCATTTTCCCCTAGAAAAGGTCTTGTTTAGGAATTGTACCTCAAAAGGAAGTCCTTCTGTGAGAGTGTGTGTACCCAAGCACGCCTTGTGAGGAGAAGGGGAAGGCTAGATGGCCAATTAGGGATGATTTTCTATGAAAATGGGATACTAATTCTAAGGATTATTATTGAGATATCCTATAATAATAAGCCCACATTTCCATAGCATTTTAAGGTTTACAAAGTACTTCCCTCAAAACAACCACTATTATTCTTCCCATTTTATGGATGACACTCCCCTGGGGTCCCCAGGACTTGAACTCAGGTTGTCTGGCTCCAAAACCAGGCTTCTCTCCCCTACACCTTGCTGTCTCTCACTAGAAGGGGCCCTGAGACATCTAGTTCAATTTCCTCACCTTACAAACAGAAACTGACTTGACACTTACTAGCAGTGTGATCCTGGACAAGTCATTTAACCCCAATTGCCTAAAACAAACAAACAAACAAACAAACAAACAAACAAACAAACAAACAAACAAACACACAAACAGAAACTGAGACCCAGAGAAGGTATACTCAGTGAGAAGACTGAACTAAGCACAGCTAGGGCTCGAATCCAGGCCTCCTGGCTCTGATTAGATTTAACAAATATTTCTGAAACATTTTCTCTGCATTCCCCCACCCCTGGAATTCCCTCCACCCTCATCTTCACCTCCTGGCTTCCTTCAAATCCCAGCTAAATTCTCATCTTCTACCTACAGGAAGCTCTGCCTGGTCCCTCTTCATCCTAGCACCTAGTTCCCTCTGCTGAATACCTACAATTCATCCCTTACATGGCTCGTTTGTCCATACCTATTTGCAGGTTTTCTCCTCCATTAGCATGGGAGAACCGAGACGGTCTTTTACCTTTCTTTGTATCCCCAGCATTTAGCACAGTGCCTGGCACATTGTGGGTGTTTAATAAATATTGATTGACTGACAATGTGCCAGGTACATCACTGGGAACTGGGGGGGGGGCTACATCGTTAACGTGGATAAGTATGATACAAGATGAAAGCGGGGTGGAAAAGGAGCTAGGACAATGAATTCTAGGGCTATTTGAGGAAAGGAGGGAGGGAGCACAGCCAGGTGGAGGGACTCGTGGAATGCTCCACAGAGCAGCTCATTAAAGTCAACAAATATTTATTAAACCTTTTTCCTTGGCTGTCCCTCCTGTGCCTATTACCCCCTTCCTCATCTCCTCCTCCTGGCCTCCCTGGCATCCAAGTCCCAGCTTAAATCCACCTTTAATGAGAAACCTTTGCCATTGCCCCCTCTTTTCCTCCGAGTAGTATCTCCAGGCTGTCCTGATAACAGCTTGTCTGGACATAAGTGGTTTGTATGTTGTCTTCTCTACGTTCTCTCAGCTCCCAGGCTGAGCCTTGAAGGGAGATAAGGGAGGAGGTGAGGACTGAGTAAGACAAAAGCCTGAGATGCATTTTCTGCAGTCAAAGCATCACAGGGCGATGAAATGTTGGAATGAGAAGAGACCTGAGGTTGGTACAGGATGGTGAATAGGTCATACCAGCACACAGAAGTGGGAGACAAGGTGGGTGTCTGAAGCAGAGAGTAGTCACATTTGCTTAAAAGATCACTGTAAAATAAGGCAGGCAGGGAAGTTGGAGCTGGACAGTGCAGGGCCTCACGAGGTCTCTCTTCTTATCCCAGAGGCAATGGGAGTCACAAAAGTTTTCGAGCAGAGGGAGTAACTTAGCTTGACCCGTATCTCAGGAAAATTATTTTGGTTGCTGTGTGGAGGATGGGCTGGAGAGTGGTGGCAGGAAGACCATTGAGAAGATTACAATATGGTGGGGGAGAAGACCAGAGGACCTGAATCTGAACAGAAGCTGCATGAATGGAGAGGGATGGATGTGAGAGAGGTGGTGGAGAAAGAAATGATAAGATTTGGCCGCTGCCTGGATGAAGGGGTGGGTAGGGGACGGGGAAAGGTCTAGAAATCTGGGTGACTGGGAGGGTGGCAGTGCCTTGAAGAGCAAGAGTTCTGGTCTTGAAGTCAGAGGATCTGGGTTCAAGCAATATGGGGAGGCTGCAGTTCAGACTATTGATGATGATGATAATGATGATGATGATAATAATAGAAATTTACTTAGTA